ATGTCCTCACTAAGATAGAACAAACAGGACAACATCACTGGTGGGATATCTTTACAGGACAATCCCCTTCAGCAACAAAAGTATTCAACTACTTAATGCATCTAATGCTAATTATAGTAATAACCATGCTTTTACTATCCCTTTTAAATATATGGCTGTGGTACGGGTTACACTCTATAGTCAAAAGGACCCATATATTATGGGCGATAATGCACACTCACACTTCCCTAGAACTTGACGAAAGAATTCGTAAGTTCTAAGAAAAGGGGGGAATGAAGCAGGAGGGGTTAACCGAAACATTTTTATTGCAAGCCCATAAGAACCCCCCTGCCCTCTGTACACTTACAGTTTAACGTAAGCTACATTTCGTTTACTGTAAGCCGCATTTCGTACAGGAAGACTCTGTCCTGTGCTGAGGGCATCAGACCTTAAAAGAACCACAACAAACACTAGACAAAGTACTCAACGCCCATAAATCTCATCCAAAGGAGCCAAGGTAGACATTTCAATAAGTGAGGTAGGCCTAAAGCCAAGGGTTTCTTTAAGCATGAATGATCAGAACACAGAACAATAGAAAGTACTAAAGGTCACCGGGGTGACGTGAGGATGAGAATTGGAAAAGCAGACCCTAAGATGAAGGCAAACAGGAACTCCCACTAAAATATTCCTCAAAATGGAAACCACGCCTCCATCTCCGCCCCAACTCCACCTGTTATGAATATTGTAATTAAATGATGCAATAATATGAATATGTAAAAGTTATGTTGTAATCATGATCAGAACATTGTATAAATTGCTTGTTCTTACTGAATCACTTTGGAGTTTTTACCTGGCCTGAACTGGTAAATCTCCCTGGCGTCGTCGATAGTCAATAAATACCTTGCTGCTTATGGACTTCAAATTCTGTCTTTGAGGAGTTTTATTCACCTGCCCCCTTTTTGGGCATCAAAATCTCACCATGTCCCTTCGAAAAAACCGGATTGCCAGACACAACCAGCACTCTCCAACCTCCCGTGTGGCAGACCAGTGGTCACTGCAGGTCTCAACCTCTAGATAACGCAAGGACCCACTGCTCCCGAACCTCACCGGAAGAGAAGAGAGAGAGGTCTCTAATCTCTATCTTATTTTTACCCTGGTTTACGTAAAAATCATATGGAATACTGGGAAGATGGCCACTTCCTTGGTTACCAAGGAAGGTCTAGACTAAAACCATCACACAGATAGCATCTGTTAAAGCAGTAACTCAAACACTTAAATGGGGTAGAGATGAGTTTCCCCTCCCTCTGGTTAGTGTTTAAAAGTGAGCAGTTTGACTCTCCCTGCATCTCTGCTGAGACAGGGCAACTTGAGAAAAGCAAAACAACCTCTCTTTTCCCCAAGACCTCAACCATAGTCTCTAATAATTTAGGTGCAAAACCCTTTCTTTTCCACATATTTAAAATCAAACACACCTCTACAGCATCCACCAAGAAATCCATTTTGCCTACAAACCATCAGACAGATGAAAGCATGCTCAAGACATGATTTGATCATATGGTATCAACAGTAGACTGTCATTCTTGCAATCAAATCTTGAATATTTAAAAGACTTTAGTGGGTGCTTTTCTTAAATGGTGCATTAACATTAGGCAAGACCACCTAAGACTTTGTGGTAAGACCTTATTTCTGCTTAAACAGACAATAATTTCAGACTTTTCCAAGTGATGACTGGGAAGATACACTTTTTCTCCCTTTTTACTCAACTTTATTCTTCTCTTAGCAGAATCATATCTGCCTTCCTTTTCCTTAGCTACAGCCTTTCCCCCACACTGCCTGTGGTTCCCCCCCCCCCCCCCCCCATTTCTCCACTTAACTGCCACCAGGGAGCAACCCAGGCCGGACTGCAGCAGTTCCACCCCAAGTAGCGGATGGGTGGGCAGAGTGCTCAGGGAGAAAGTGAGGGGCCAGGCTGCAGCACATCTGGGCAGAGGTGAGAGGTCGGTGACCCCATTGGACAGCAAACCCTCTGCTGACCCTGGGGGGGGGGGGGGCAGTGGGACCCTGATATCACCACTGGCAGTGACATGGTGGGTGGTTACAGCTCTCTGTGGGTGGCCACTGCAGAAGAGAAGGAACATGCATAACCTGAGTGTGTGCTGTGGATTTGAAAGGCTGTGAAGAGAAGGGCTAACCCAGCAACTAGTTTTGCCCTGACCCATTTTCTGTGCAGGAGCTGTAGTGAATGGTCTGGACTCTGCCAGTCCAAAAGTGCTTGAAGGTGCATCTAGTTGAGAAGAACTTGCAGTGCATTGTGGGGTGTGTACAGTTTACAGGCTGCAAGGGGAAAGTCACTGCCACTGAATTTTGGAGTGCATAGAAGTTTGCAATTAGAAGGAGGAGGTCACCAAAAACTTTCTCTCTTGGCACACTTACCTGGTCCAGTTGTAGCTGGAAACTGTTGAGCTATTAATCAAATATGTAAATTGTTAGCAAAATATGATCTTTATCTTTCTGTATTTAGATGTATCTAAATGATGTAACTTTCTTAATCACTAGATGTGCTGTCTAGCCACTGCCATGGAGGAACCACCACTGGGGAGTTCACATGGGCCAGTGCCACTTCTACTTCGACAGCGACGTGGCAGAAAGGGATGAGCAGATGGCGGATGGCCGCCTGCCATAGAGAACGGTGACTGGGTTTTGGGGTCAGGCCAGGTCGGTCCAGGTGGGAGCCAGTAGGGGACCAGACAGGTCTGGCAGATCCCCAGACTGACAGGGGAGGCGAGTGAGACAGTCCCATTTGGGGGGGGGGGGGGGGGGGGGGGGGGGGCCTGTGGGATCCCTGGATCGGCGGGAGGGAGGACGGGGCAGTCCTGTTTTGAGGGTCACAGGTGGGCAGTGCAAGGGGGATCTTGTGGTGACACAGTGGGTGGGAGGGTAAGGTTAGGGTGGGTAGCGGGTTTTTCTGGGGGTTGGGGGGATTTAAGCTGGGCTGGGGCCATGGGAGGTGCCTGAGTCCCGGGTGGATGCCAGGACCCCTTACATGTGTGCCCGCCCCACCCAGGGGTATGTCGAGATTGCTTCTGTTCCAGTGAGGGTGAGATGTTTTGGGCTTGGTTTGCCTGCGACTTCTGCCCAGGAACGGTTTGTTTTGGAATTATAGCATCTTGGAAGGGTGTTTAGGACAAGGAAATGTCCCTGGGTTAGAGTGCAGGAGGCTGCAGGGCAAAAGCAGGGAGACAAGGGCTTGTCCAAATCATTTTAGTGGGGGAGAAGCCTGTATGCCCTTATGAGATTGCGAGCTGTGTTGGCGATGGCATATGCCTCCGGTAGGGTCTCCCATGCCAGACAGGTCAAAACTGAAGGGTCAGATAAAATGTGTCCATGGGCAGAATGGGCTCACTAACCTTCTGGCAGTCATCCTTGGAGAAGGACAACTCTAATTTCAAACCCGGGTAGACGGAACTTGCTTAGTCCTGTAAGGTCATCCATCCAAGAGAAGGATGTTCTAATTAAACCTACATACTGAGGACCTTGCTGTCTCTGTCCAAGCTTGCTAGGCCCTGGCAGATAAACCTCAGGAGTAGAGGGTGGGACCAGTTCTGCGCATGCTGAACCTCACCTAAAAAAACCACTGCACAGGCTTGAAGGATATACCCACACTTGTAAAGTCCTGTAGCAACAGGCGAGGGACAAAATGGCAGGTGATAAGGTACACTGGAAGCTGCAGACCCAACCCTGCATACAGACCGTTCAGGACATTGGTGGTCTGAGACTGACCCCGGAGATGACAGTCATGTTTGGCAACATCCTGAATGACCAAGCAGTCTTTTTCAAGGAGACCACTGCTTGCTCCACATGAAGAGGGGCCTAGAAAAGGTGACCTAACCAAAGCTCATCTCCACCCTTCACCCGGTTGGTTAACCGTGGCCAATGGGCATCTTTTGATGCAGTCAAATAAAGATTAAGAGATAAAGGCATACATATGCCTTTGAAGGTGTTTCCAAATTGACACTCACATGCTGAAACATCAAAACCATGCTTGATACTGCAGATAGTGGACATCCTGAGTGTTGCTCTGCTCTATTGCCTACGAACTGTCACGACTCAACATCCACACTGCTGCTCTTAGTGAAGTTTGTCTCCATTAGGAAGGCAGTCTTAGAGAACATGGTGCCGATTATACACTCTTTTGGTCAGGTAAACCCAGAACTGAAAGTCATCTTACAGGAGTTGGTTTCATGATTAAAAACTATTGCCTCTAAACTTGAAAAATTGCAGACAGGTCATTCTGATCGTATTATCTCCTTATGCCTCCCACTACACAACAAGAAACATATTCTCTTAAGTATATATGCCTCAACTCTCCAAGCTGACCCTGCCGAAAAAGACAAAATTCTACACCGACCTGCGCCATCTTACCCAAAAGGTTCCTGCAGATGATAAGATCATAATTCTTGGTGATTTCAATGCCAGAGTGGGAAAGAACTCTGAAGCCTGGAGAGGAGTAGCAGGCAAGCGTGGTGTTGGAAACTGCAAAGATAATGGATGCCTTCTGCTAGATTTTTGTGCAGAGTAGCAACTCACCAACAGTATCTTTCAGCAGAAAGATAGTTTGAGACAACCTGGATACATCCTCGATCCAAGTATTGGCACCTGATTGATTATGTCTTCGTGCGACAGAGAAATGTTTGCAATGTTCGTCATACCCGAGTGATGCCTACTGCAGAATGCCAAACAGATCATCGCCTTGTGCATTGTGAACTTAACTTCACCTTTAAGTTCAAACCTAAAAGGGGTGGCATTCTAAGGAGGAGACTTCAAGTTAACAACCTTCAAACAGCTACAGTGAGAGACAACTTCCAGGCAAATCTTCAAGCTAGACTTGAAAATTATTCCCATAGATCCCTCTCCCGAAGCACTTTGGCAACATATTAAAAATAGCATCCTGCAGTCCTCTGAAGAATCCTTAGGGTTCTCTTTCAAGAAAAACAAGGACTGGTCTGATAAAAACAATCAAGAGATCCAGGAATTGTTGTTAAAGAAGAGAACTGCTCACCAAGCACACCTTGCTCAGCCATCTTGCTATGTAAGAAAAGTAGCCTTTCTTCTTGCATGCAGTAAGCTCCAACAGAAACTTCTAGACAAGTGGTGGATCAATCTAGTAGAAAAGATTCAATTATGTGCAGACTCAGGTGATTACAGAGGCTTCTATGAGGCCTTGAAAACAGTGTACAGACCTACACACCCGTTTCAAAGCCCTTTACTCAGCGCAGATGGTGAAATGCTTCTCGCAGATAAAACATTCTGAATCAATGGCCTGAACATTTTCAGACTCTCTTCAGTACCAACTGTGTAGTTCAAGACTCAACTATTCATTACATTGCACAACAACCAGTGAAAAATGAATTGGATATTGCCCCTACTATGGGAGAAACTCTTAAGGTTATACAACAGGTGAAAACTGGCAAGGCAACCGGGGTTGATGGAATTCCACCTGAAGTGGAAGCATAGAGGCCAAGCACTCCATGCTAAATTTCACGAATTTGTGGTACGTTTGTCAGGAACTAGGCGAATTACCATCAGATCTTTGTGATGCAGTCATCATCATTCTGTATAAGAAGAAAGGAGATAAATCAGACTGTTCAAATTACCAAGGTATTACTTTACTCTCCATTGTTGGTAAAATCCTTGCAAGAATACTTTTGAATAGATTAATATCCGCTATTGCAGAAGACCTCCTACCTGAAAAGCCTATGTGGTTTCAGAGCTAATAGGAGCACCACAGACATGGTATTTGTTCTCAGACAACTGCAAGAGAAGTGTAGGGAACAGAATAAAGGACTCTATGTAACTTTTGGTAATTTCACCAAAGTTTTTGATACTGTGAGCAGAAAAGGTTTATGGCAGATTTTGGAATGATTAGGATGTCCCCTGAAGTTCCTCAAAAGGATCATTTTGCTTCATGAGGATCAGCGTGGCCAAGTCAGATATGGCGATGCACTTTCTGAGCCCTTTCTAATAACCACTGGTGTGAAACAAGGTTGCGTTCTTGCACCAACTTTATTCACAGTCTTCTTCAGCATGATGCTCCAAAGGGCCACAGCAGATCTCAATGAAGAAAACAGTATCTACATCTGATATCTGACCAGTGGAAACCTTTTCAACCTAAGGCAACTGAAGGTCCATACTAAGACTTTAAATCATCTTGTCTGTGAACTGCTTTACACTGATGACACCGCCCACACAGAAGCAGCTCTGCAGTGTTTAACATCCTGCTTTCCAGAGGCTGCTGAGCTTTTTGGACTGGAAGTCAGTTTGAAGAAGACAGAAGTTTTCTACCAACCTGCACCTCAGGGAGTCTTTCATCATCCCCATATTATCATTGGCGAATCAGAGCTCAAGTCACTCCAGCAGTTTAATTACCTGGGAAGCATCATCTCCTCAGATGGTAAAATTGACAAAGAGATAGACAACAGGTTAACAAAGGCATATAGAGCTTTCGGTAAACTCCACAAAAGAGTTTGGTGTAATAAACATATGAAAAAAGTACAAAGATTAGTGTTTACAGAGCCATTGTACTGTCTACTCTTTTATATGGGTCTGAATCATGGGTCATTTACTGCCACCACTTGCGACTCTTAGAACACTTCAATCAGCCCTGCCTCCGTACAATCCTAAATATCCACTGGATGGATTATGTGACCAATGCGTTTGTCCTTGAACAGGCAGCAGTCACAAGCATTGAGGCCATGCTGCTGAGAACATAGCTGCATTGGGCAGGGCACGTCTCCAGGATGAAGGACTATCACCTCCCTAAGATTGTGCTCTATGGTGAACTTGTCACTGGCTGTCGCAAAAGAGGTGCCCTGAAGAGGAGATGCAAGGACTCCCTGAAACAATATCTCAACCTTCGTCATATTGATCATCATTGGTCTACCCTGACCTCCAATTGGGAGACCTGGAGACACACTATCTATAACGCCACTGCTTTTTTTGAGAACACATGCAGGATCACTCTCCAGGAGAAGAGACATCGCATCTTGTCAATATCACCTAGGGATTCTTTCCGCTGTGCCTTCTGCAACCGGACTTGTCTATCTCGCATTGGCCTTTTTAGCCATCAGTGCACTTGCAGTAAGCATGGGTAGAGTCCTTCTCAAATCTTCGTTCGCGAAGCCTAACCATGATGGTGATGATGAGAGGTGCTCTCTGTAGTAATGATTAAGTGCATTGCTGAGCTTATCCTTCTTTAATTCTTGGTTGTTTTGCACTATAGTAAAATTACACACTTGTTCCTTAGACTTGGCATCTGTGTGTCATGCGTTGACCCTCATGCCCTTGGCAAAACACCAGTGTTGCTTGATCCACCACCAGAAGACACAATTCCATGGAGCAGGTGAGATTTCTGGGGCTCTAAAGTCAACTAATCTTCTCTTTCCAATCAATCTCCAACATTGCTCTGTTTTTGCCCCCCTGTTCACCCGGTGCCTATGGGGAATCAGTAGGATGTGGAGATGACCAACCAGTCATCTTCCCAATGTGGATCACCAGCAACATGAGTCACCGGGTGTCTTCCCAACATCGGTCCTCTGATGGGTGATGAAGTTGGAGCAGAGGATGAAGCTCTTCCCACAGCCAGGGCACTCATAGGGCTTCCCTTACTGGTGGGTACCTAGGTTTGATTAAGGAAGAACTCACGGAGAAGCTTTTCCCACACTCGGGACACTTGTAGGGGCTCTCCCCAGTGTGAATGCGCTGGTGTCTGATCAAGCTGGAGCTGAGGTTGAAGTTCTTTCTGCTGCTGATGCTCGATGACATGGGAGCTGCTCTGAAATCTCTTCCCACACTCGGGACACTTGTAGGGCTTCTGCCCTGTGTGCAGGCACTGGTGAGTAATGAGGTTGAAGCTTTTACTGAAACTCTTGCCACGTTCCAAGCACTTGTAAGGCTGTTCCCCAGTGTGGTTGTTGTGGTAGATCAGGTGTTGAACTCTGGTTGAAGCTCTTCCTAGGTTCTAAGCCCTTGTAGGGTTTCTCCCTGGCATGGAGCTGCTGCTGGACCACCAGGTTGGAGCTCTGGCCGAAGCTCTGACCGAAGCTCTGGTCACCTTCCTGGCATAGGGTTGGTCTTTCCTCCTCAGAGCACTGTGGACTGGGTTTGGAGCTCATCCCCATGGGGGATCTTTGTGGCTTTTCCTCCTCGTTGACTTTCTGCACCATGGAACCATTCAAAATGGTCTCTTTCACCAGGTCCTGCCAGGGGGATTTGTGATTTGTCTTCCATCATCTCTATCCTCAGGTTATTGCCTTGGGGAGGAAGGACAAGGAGAGGAAGGAAGAAGCAGAAGGAGGAAGCAGAAGGAGGAAGAAGAGGGAGGAACAAGGAGAAGGAAGAAGAAAGGAAAAGGAACAAGGAGAGGAAGGAAGGAAGGAAGGAGAGGAAGATGAAGGAGAGGAAAGGGATTTGCTTCCATGTCAGAGGAAGATGAAGGAGAGGAAAGGGATTTGCTTCCATGCCAGAGGAAGATGAAGGAGAGGAAAGGGATTTGCTTCCATGCCAGAGGGAAGGGGAAGGAGTTTCCCCCAAATCTGTCCCTGGCAGGATAGCATCGGCAGCAGGGTTGTCCTGCAGCCAGAGGTGACGCTTGGCTGGAATATGGAGAAGAGAGGGGAAAAGGTGGAGTGGCTTACTCCTGACCAGCCTGGGTGTTCTGTATCATCTTCCTCTCAGCCTCCTCCTTGAGCTGGTCAAGGACTGGGAATGAGAAATCCTGTTTTGGGGGAAAAAACTAAGGTGTGAGTGCATTGGATTGGGGGTTCTTCCAACCCAAGTCCATCTCTAGAAGTCGTCACCCTCTTGTGTCCATAAAACCCTCCAAAACACCAAGATTCAGCTCAAGAAAAACCCAAACCACAAAAATTAACCCCAAAAAAACCACCCCAGGAGTTCCCTCTCTCTGCTCTCTCCACTTTGGCGTTCTGGGGGTTCCCCCTGTGCTTAGGGGGTCCTGGGAATTCCAGGGGTCCCTCCTCTCCAGTCTCTCCACTTTGGTGTTCTTGGGGTCCCCCTTCTCTGGGCTGCTGGGGATCTTGGGATTCCCCCTCTCCAGGATCCCCCTGGTTAGGGGTATCAGGAGTTTTGGGAGTCCCAACAGTCCCTTCTCTCCTTACTCTCTGCTCTGGGGTGCGGGGGGTCCCAAAGGTCCCCCCTCTCCAGGTTCACCCCCTCTCCAAGATGGCTGGGGGTCCTGGGAATCCTGGAGGACCCCCTTCTCTGGGGTCCCCATTTTGGCATCCCCAGGTTCCCAGGGGTCACCTCTCTCCAGGTTCCCCATTTCAAGGTCTCAGGGTACCCAGGGGTCCCCCTTCTCCATGCTCCCCCCCTCTCCAGTCTGCCGGGCCTCCCCCTTCTCAGGGTCTGATGTTTTAGAGTCCCAGGTTCCCCCTCCTCAAGGCTACCGGGGGTCCCCCAGCTCTGGTATCGCTGCTCTGCATTCTCCCCACTCCATGGGTCTTGGGGTTCCCCCCCATCAGCCTTCCTGAGGTGTCCCCAAAACGGGTACCCCCCTCCCCACCCTGTCGGTACCAGAGACTGTGGCTCTGGGCTGACAATGGAGGGATTGACTCAGGAAGAACAATGCCCACAGCGGTGGGGGGGATACTGTATCCCCCCGCCCACTGCCGGGCTCTGCTGGAAGAAACCACCAGGACCCCCAAAAAAACCTACCTCCGGGGGATCCCCCTATATTGGGTTTGCATGGCCAGATATTGGTAACGGGGGGGCTACAGGGGTGGCTTCTGTGAGAAACTGTCAGAAGCTTCCCCCATGCCCAGCAGATCCAATGCCAGCCGGTTCCAGGACAGACGTGCCTCTGGCTGTGACCCCATGGGAAGCCGATGCTGGAGCAGGCTTCTGGCAGGGACCTGCGGACCCATAGAGAGAGAAGCCCATGCTGTAGCAGGTTTGCTGGAAGGACTTGGAACCCTTTGGGGAACCCACTTTGGAGCAGGGGTAGGACTCCAACTCGTCTCCCTGAGCAGCAGTAGAAACAACCTGTGATGACCTGACCATGGCCCCCATTCCCACCTCCCTGCACTGCTGGAGGGGGAAGAGGGAGAGTCCAAGAAGGAGGGAGAAATGGGGGAAATGTGTTTTTAAGAGTTGTTTTACTTCTCATTATCATGCTACTATTTTGTTAGCAATAAATTCAGTTAATACCCCCAAATCCCCGTCTGCTCCTGCCAGGGGCAGGGACATGGCCACCGCCGCAGTCACCAACAGCCACTGACTGTGTGTCCTCAGTGCTGGGGACACCTGTGGGGGAGCTGGGCATAACCGCAGGGAGCAGTTGCAGGGGGCTGTCCCACAGCCCATGCCGCAGTCAGGAGCGACAGCAGCTTGGTCCCTGTGGGTGACAGCCCCATGAGATCCATAGCCAGACCTGCAGAGGAGTCATCAGTAAACCAAACATTCTGTTAATCAGAGGTATAAGGAGGTGCAAATTTAATGGGGGAAAGAGGAAGGGCCTCTTGGGGCTCAGTCTGAGTGGGTTCTTGTACAGAGAGACTTTTTGGTGGTCCTTTCTCCACCCTGTGAATGTGGTGATAGTACTCTAGTTGTGCAGACCACTTCCTGACAGTGTTCCTTTGTGCCACCCCAGCTAGGTGGGGGTGAGGGTGTGTACCCGAGATAACTGTCTTAAGGGGACCTTAAATGGACCTCTCAGTATGAGACCTGCTGTGTCACAATTTTACCTGCTTCCTGTGATGCCAAGTTCACCACAAGCAAACCCTTTCCCCATACAGAATATCACTTTTCAGCATCCTTAAGACCGCGTGAGTGAAATTGGATTGGACAAGTGGAACCCTCTGGCCTGTGCTGCCACATATGAATTGACAGTCCATGGATGACTCTCATAGTTCTGATTTTAGCAAGGAATTTTTTCTTTCCTTCCCCCCCCCCCCCCCCCCCCCCCCCCCCCCCGCATGTGTGCTTTGTTAATGGGCCATCAGATAAACAAAGGAGTTGGCCTGATCCCTAAATGACCGAGACATTAATCTCCTAGCAATGAAGGGGGAGGAATTGAGGAAGGGTAGGATGTGTGGGTGGAAGGAGGTGGGGTTTGGGGGATTGGAGCTCAGCTCTGGAGCCGGAGGAGTGGCGGCAGCAGGGAGGAGAGACTGACTGGTTTCTTCTTTGTCTTTTCCTGTCGGAGGAGAGTTTTGCTGCTGTTCTCTGCTCAACTGTTGCTAGTTGCGGGCCTGGCCCACCGCGAAATCCTCACCAACTGAAAATCGTGAGTTTTCTTCCATTGGGAGAACTTTCTGTTTCCCTCCCCCTTCCCCCCTCCTCCATCACCACCTGGCGGCAACCAAGGATCTCACAGCGCCACCTGGTGACCGGTACTGAACATTACAAGTTCTACTCCTCCAGTGCTCCAACAGCGCCACCTGGTGACTACTATAGAACATTACAAGTTCTGCACTTTTTGATAACTCAACAGCGCCACCTGGTGAATGGTATAAGACATTACAAGTTTTGCATCTCCAGTGACCCGACGGCACCCCCTGCTGACTGTGGCTGGAACTGCACCAAAGGGTGCTAAAAATTGAACTATTTAATTTTCCTTTTGCCAGTTTTATCGGTTTTGTTCTTGAAGGGGATTATTGGTGGGTATAGGGGTATTGCTTCTTTGTTTTACTTGTTTTTTTTCGTGTTCCTGTTAATACACACATACCTTTTAATAAAGGGCTGTTATTTTTTCCCTTTTCCATAATTTGTTTTCCTTCAATCGGAGCCTCTTAATTTCGAATTTATAATTGCTAGAAAAGGAAGTTTGGGTCTTTTTCTCCTAATCCATCCTCAGCAAAAGACCTTTGTCTCATTTAAACTGGGACAATGGCAAAACCCCAATCCATCTGTGGTCCTGTGGGTCCTGTGGATGAATGGGTCCAAGAACTTGGCATATTATGGTCTCAAAGACCAACAGTTTTTTAGGGCCTCCTCATAGACTGGAGTCCAGTCCCAAGAAGCTCTTTTCTTAGTAAAGTCATATAAACGCCAGACTATGATGGAAAAATCAGGACTATGCCTCCTCCAAAACATCAGTAATCCTAAAGCATGCTGGAGTTCCTTTTTACTTGCAGGAACTTTCACCTCTTCCAGGAGGTCACAGGGAATGCATATCGCTCTTCCTCTCCACCATATACCCTGACTCTTGCATTTCCTTGCCATGCCTGACATTGCCTTGCCTTGCCTTTCCTTGCCTACCTCTCTGTTGCCTTGAAGACTCACCCCTTGCCTTTGCCTGCCTACCCTGTCTTGCCTTGCATTGCATTATATACCCAGCCTCTGCCTAGAATTGCCTACCCCTTTCTTGCCTGGCCTTGCCTGCCCTTCCCTTACCTTCCCTTGCCTTGCAAACACCTACATTTTCTGGCCTTGCCTTGCCTGCTCCTTTATTGACTTCCTTGTGTTGCCTACTATCACCCAGTTTTCGTACAATGTTTTTTACAAATATCCAAGAAGGTCCCTTCCAACCTGAATGACACTTTCATTCCTCACCCTTCATGTCCTCCAGCATTAGGGAAAGCACTCGGATTCAGTTTGACTGTGGAAATAATTCACATCATGTACAAGGCAGCAGCACCACATACTCAGTCACAGTAACATCCCTGGCTTCATCTTTCAGGTACTGTGTTGTGGTGGTTTTGACCCTGGCTGGATTTCAAAATACCCCAAAAAGCTGCTACATCCCCCCCCCCGCCCTCCCCCACAACTCCACAGAGGAGAGAAAAAAACCAACTGAAGAATTCCTGAGTAGAGAGACTCACTGATGAGCAAAACAGACTCAATACGGGGATAGAGCTTAAATTTATTGCTAACAAGATAAAAGCAAAAAAGCAAGAAATAAAACAGTCTTAGAAACACCTTCCCCCCTACCCCTCCTTCCTTCCATGCTCTCCCTCCTCCCCCTCCAGCAGTGCAGGGGGATGGGAAAGGGGGAGGTCAGTTGTTGTTTATCCCTCAGGCAACAGCTCTTTTCATTCTGCTGTCCCATTGGTCACTCCTTCATGGCATGCAGTCGGGTCTGTGCACTCCGAAGGTCCTCCATAGTCTACAAGGGGACACCTGTGTCACTATAGTCTTCACCACAGGCTACAGGGGGGCCACAGCTCTAAGTCCTTCCCCTGTTCCCATGGAGGTCCCTCCCACGGGAGATAGTCCTTCATGAACCTCTCCAACTCACCCACCCCTCGGGCAACAGTTCTTCCAAATCTGCTGTCCCGTGGGTCACTTCTCCGTGGGGGTGCAGTCCTTCACAGATAAACTGTACTGACGTGGGTCCCCCACAGGGCCATGAGTCCTACCCAGGAAAAACTTGCTTCAGCGTGGGCTTCTCTCTCCATGACCCACAAGTCCCCAGCAGGTACCCCGCTCCATCTTGGACCTCCCATCTTGGGTTGCGGGGGGGATCTCTGCATGGACAGCCCATACAAACCAATCATATAGCAACATGTACTAAGTAGTAAGAAGTGTGTTTAACTACTGCAAACCAATTATGCAGCGACATGTACTTATAGTTAACCAATAATGTAGTGACATGTAGGTGTGTAAGAGTATAAAACAAACACTGTAACACATAATAAACGAGATCTGCCTATCGATCACATTGGTCTGTGTGCAGTTACTCCGCGTCCTCTCGGTCACACGTATGCATCTATATAATGGACTTTTACAGCCAACTTCTCTACTGGAGCAGTGATGTCTTGCCACAATTCACCAACCCAGGTGGGTTTACCTCTGCACTGCCAATTGGCCTTTTTCCATTGGTCCAACCACCCCCACTGAGCATTTACCACCGTCCACAAACCAGTGGAGATGTAGAGTTTTGACCATTTCTCTCATTCAGTCGTATCGAAAGTCATCTGGATGGCTGCCATCTCTGCAACCTGACTCGATCCACCTTATCTCCCTCGATAGTTTCTGTGACTCGCCATGTAGGGATTCACACGGCAACCTTCCATTTTCAATGTGTCCCTACAATACAGCAGGAACTATCAGCAAAGAGAGTGTGTTGCCTTTCATTTTCTGGTAGCTGATGTTACGGTAGGACCTCCTCAGCATATGTCACCTACTCCTCTTCCTCTTCTGAGTACAGTCCAAAATTTTCACATTCTGGCCAATTTGTGATGATCTCCAAGATCTCTGGGTTTCCTATCAGAGCTTACTGCGTGATCAGAGTGATCCACTTGCTCCACGCGGGTGGGAGTGGAAGGCTTAGTCAAAGTTATTTAAAGAAGCCCTGCTGTTGAGTCACGAGGTGCAGAAAGGACTCCCTTGCTTCCCAAACTCCTTCTCAGACAGGAGTTTAGGTGCAGCTGAACCCTCTCTCTACTCTGACAAATATCATCATGAGGAGCACATACAGGTACCATACCCACATGGACAGACCAAGCAACTTTGTGACCAGTGGCTTTGTACTTAATACAAAAAGTACTTAGATCAAATTTGTTTCCAACCTTCTCTGGGCAGATCTGTTGTTGTCTCAACCCTTCCTGTCTCACATTGGGTGCCAGTTAAGGTTGTCATGGTTTAGGAATGGCATTCTTCAATTTAGTACTCCCACTAAAACTACAGCACCACTCTCTTCCCCTCCCCTTCCAATTGGAAACTCAAAAGGCAAAGATCACTGGTTGAGATAAGAACAACTTACTGGAAAGAGCAATGAGAGAAGAAAATTAACAGTAACAGCAACAATATTAATAAGAAAACGTAGAAGACAAAGAAACAATTTACAGGGAAAGTCATGACAATAAACAAATACTGATTTGCTCTTCCCCATCATGTTTTCTCCCCACTGGAAGGTATGCCCTTCCTGGCAGTGAGACTCCCTTACTCCTGCCCTCAGCAATGATGTGAGGTGGTAGAGAACAACCTCCTAACCATGCCCCCTTGGCCACATCCCCTCAACTACTGCAAAACATTAACTCTGCCCTGGCCAGAACCAGGAACGTGTTAGACCATCCAAGGAGAACATCCCACAGGCTGTGGGACTTGCTCTTTACTGAAATACAAGAAAACTAAAAAGAAAAAGCCCAGTGCTCATCTCTCCCCAAAATAATAGTTATTTTTATTGACTGGTCAGTCAAAATGCCAAACTTATTTAAAGGGTAATCTGTCGTCAAACTCCCCTATTTCAAATGCAAACCTTTCCCTTTGAAATAATAATAATACCAGACTGGTGCTCTGAGACCTCAGCAGTCCCCCCCCCCCCCTCCCCGCCTCCAACAGCAGGCAAAGGAGCAGGACAGAACAAATGGAGATTTATTGTATAGCAAGGATGTCACAGTTGAGGCGGGATAGCGACAGGGTTTCAGGAAATCAACTCTTTATTACAACAGTGTATCTACCTTTATACAGTTCTGGGTGACACATGTACACGCACTATTGGTTTACTACTAACATGACAACTCATGATTGGACATAACCACACGTGTCCAAACCCAATAGGTCGGTATTGCTAACAGGATACCCATTCTGTGTCACAGTCCTTACTGTCCGTGGTTAACCCTCTGCCAAGTGAAGAAGTTCTATCTTTGGTATTTTAACTTACAGAGAGCCCAGAGCCAGCTGGGCTCCCCCACAGAGTCCCAGAAAGTTTTGGATTGGAAGGAACCTTTAATATCATCTTGTTCCAACACATTGCCATGGACAGGGACACCTTCCCTTAGACCAGGTTGCTCCAAGCCCTGTCCAACCTGGCCTTGAACACTTCCAGGGATAGGGCAGCCACAGAATCTGTGGCAAGTTTTCTGGAAGGCTTTTTGGCATTGGTAACAGCTTGTGCAGAATTCCGCTATTCCAGTCCTCCAGTTACTGAGGAGGAATTTAGATCCTGGCAGCCTTTGCAGACTGTGTGATGAGAACCTTCTATTTTGTGGAGGTCAAGTAGGGATAAAAGAAATAGTTTATTAGTTTTTTCAGTGTTAATACCCAGATTTGTGAAATTCCCCTCCCCACTAGTGGTGTTACTATTTAGTGCACTTTTTGCTGCCAAACAAAGGATACAGTTTCCTCTTTTTTTCTTTCTTAAAAAAAAGAGAAATTTTTACAGACAAGGTCCAATTAAGCAAAAGTCCTAAACATGTGTCTCCCCGTGTGAGGAATTGGGCAGTTCCCAGCTTTAGTCACCATGGGGACACCTGCCGGGTTTAGGTTGGGAAATGTTGGACACACATGAGATTTTAGTTGTGCAAGTGAAATGATGCAAGAATAAATCCAGGTTTTTAAAAGTTTCCCTGTGTGCTGTCACAGTCCTGAGAAGTGTTGGACAAGAGTGGGAAGGTGTCAGGAAATCTGTAGGTGTGTCTCTGTCTCAGTTTATTAAGACAGAAGTGTTTGCTAAGGAGGATGAGTTGTGAGGAAAACCAAACTCCTCCCTCTAAGCAATTGTACATTTGAAATTAAGAGACTTCAGTTGAGGAAATATGGAGAAAGAAAATATATCAGCTCTTTATTAAAGGATATATGTGTATAGGCAGCACAACAAAAGAACACAAAACCACCCCCAAACAACATTCCTGCACCCAAAGTTCCCACCAAAAACAGTTCAGTATTTTTTGCCTTTTGGCGCAATTCTAAACACGATCAGGATGGGGTGCTGTTGGATCACTGTAGGAGCAGAGCCTGCAGTTGCTCTGTGGTGAACGGCAGGGGGTGCTGTTGGGCTCTGGCAGTTGCTATGTGGGGGCCCCGGTGCGTGGGAGAAGCTGAAATGGAGATTCCCCCCCCACCACCACCAAGAAGGGAAGGAGAAAAGGGGAAAGGGGGTTCTTCCTATGGACTCATGCTGTCAGCAGCTGGCTCTGGCTGGAATTCCCCCTGCCCTTTGTCAATGGGTACAAGCTGCTGCCAACACAGGATCAGAGGAGGAAAGGGGCGGCCACTTCCCTCAAAGGTTCCTCCACAGATGGCCCTGGCTTCTCTTATGAAATCCAAGGCAGGTCTGGGCTGGGAGCAGAACAGGGCATGGGAGAACAGAAGCAGACTGGGGCCAAAGGCAGACAGATGACCTGGCCAAAAACAAAATGAACCTGGGAGCCCCTCCACACACACATCTTCCCTGAGTTAGGGCAAAAGTAAAGTGAGGATGCTGTTTACAGAGGAGAAAAAAAACCCTTACCTCTCTCCTCCTCCAGTCTTCTGAGGCCCATTAGTTTGGAATGTGAGGCTGCCAGCCAGTTCTTTTGTGTGTGTGAATCACTAGCCAACCACCCTCCCCCTCCCTCGTTCAACACCTTTCTTTCACAGTGGTGAAGGGGAAAAAAATTCCAAGCTGTTTTTTTTTTAGAATAAGTAAACCTATGACAGTCTCCCATCCTTCAGGCACTGATCTCTGCTCGGTGTGACCAGTGACAGGACCCAAGGGAACGACTGGAGCTTTTTCAAAGGAGGTTTAGGTTGGATATTAGGAAAAGGTTCTTCCCGCAGAGGGTAGTTGGGCGCTGAAACAGGCTCCCCAGGGCAGTGGTCATGGCCCCAAGGCTGCCAGAGCTCAAGAAGCATTTGAACAGCACTCTTGGGGACATAGTGGGATTGTTGGGGTGTCCTGTGCCGGGCCAGAAGTTGGACTTGAATGATCCTTGTGGGTCCCTCCCAACTCAGAATATTCTGTGATTCCATGACTGTTTATGCTGCCAACACCTGCCTTGCTCCCGAGATGGACCAGGAACAGTTGAGCATGATTGGAAAGTCCCTGACCTACTCTAAAAGCACAGAGCAGGGAGAGAAAGAGAGAAAAAAGACATCATCAGTCGTGGTTCTGTTACAGTCTGGTCAGGGCTTGGAAAAGCCCCTGCCAGAAACAAGTCCGGGCTTGTCAGAGCTAAGTTGGGACTGGTTAGACATTAAGGCTGTGCTGACCAAAAAGAAAACAATAAGTCAGGCAGCCCCGGGGACAAGACAAATTTGCAACTAGAGATAGGATGTAGTCTGGTGGTGGGATTTAATTA